AACAGAATTTTAAAAATTAGTTCTTTGAAGTTCACCTTTTGATACAGGTTGGACCTCTCTGGCCAGCACTGTCAGGACCTGACCCGTCCCAAATGAGGGAATTAGCCAATCAGGGTTGGTCCTCTGCCACCAGCCTCCCAGGACACTGCACCTCCCTTTGGCTGGCTCTGCTCCAGCCTGCTGCTTGGGCTTGGCACTGGCCCACTTCTGCCAGCTGGTTAGAGTGCTCTGGGGATGGAGCTCCCTAGCTGCCATGGTCCTGCTTCTGTCCTGCCTAGCTGAGGCTTCCCAGGGATGGGGCTCCATGACTGCCCTGCTGCTGCAATGCCCGGCTGGGGTTCTACAACTGCCCCGCTGCTGTGCCGACCCAGGGCTTCCAGATAGAGGCAGCAAGGAGGGGAAGAAGATGGGGTACTTCAAAGCGGCAGTGCTGCTTGAAGCTTGGAGCCAGACCCTGGGCTCCATGTGGCGCTGCCCCAGGTGTCCCCAGGCCGTACGTAGCATTTCAAAGTGGCAGTGCTGTGTGGAGCCTGGGATCAGCTGGGGAGTTCCCAGCTGACTCCGGGCTCAGTGCGACACTGCCGCATTGAAATGCCGCGGGGAGCCTGATGTCAGGCTCCTTGCAGCATTTCAAAGCGGCAGCACCACATTGAGCCCAGGATCAACTGTGGACTCCCCTGCTGCCCTTGGGCTCTGTGTGGCACTGCCACTTTGAAATGCCACATGGTGTTTCAAAGCAGCAGCGCTGCATGGAGCCAGGGGTCAGTGGGGGAGTCCCCCCCTTCTGACCGTAGGCTCCACGCAATGCTTTCACCTTTGAAGTGTAGCAACAGCCCTATGGCTGTTGCTACACTTCAAAGACGGAGGCGTCCTATATCAACTAATCAAATAGTCAATGCAAAATGCCTGATAATTAACATCCTTATCATAAACTGTCTGAGTCAGTTCTAAAGAAACCATTCTCTGTGGCACCATTGAGACTATAGGTAATTATTCTCTAATTGTCAGGATACAACATTCACATTGTGCATCATCCAGGAATTGACATATCTGTCCTTGGCTTCTTATACTATCAGAAGAGCTGTGAATTTATTCATTTCTTGGGAGACTTTAATGCCCATGTGAACAACACTTCTAAGAGTGTGATTACACCTTAGCTGGGTTATCCTCCAAATGTATCAATTTATGTTGATATTATCACAACGGTGTGGCCTACTTTTCTTTCATCAGTATGGCCACTGCCTCAGCTCTTGTTCCAGCCCCTTTGCTGGCACATTATCTGGCAACACCATAGTTCACCTTTTCTGAGGTCTAGTTCCAAAGTACTATTGTCCACTGGGCAGGTATGTTGAGCCTTCACTTGATCTTTCCAGAGTCTTGTCGTAGAACGAGTAAACAAAATAAAGGTTTCTTTGGGGATACCAGCTCCCTTCAAAAATATGGGCTAAGAGCTCCCAAAGTCCCTCTTTCTTAGGGTTATTTAGGCAAAACAGGCACGTTTTCAGGACATGGTTGTTTTTGCAAAGGGAACTACAGCCGTGGTCACCAACCAGTTGATCACGACCAGTCGATCGCAAGGTGTTCTGGACCCTCCATTTCCCCCCACCCCCAAGAAGCCCCACTACCTACCTCGAGCAACAATGGAGGTAGTGGCAGCTTCCCATGGGGAGGACAGAAGTCCTAAAGCTGCGCATCACTTCCGAGGGTTCCGAAAATGCGCTAGCTGCTTCCTTGCCCCAGCTCCCTGGTGTTCCAGAAACTTACCCGGTAAGTCCCCAGAGGTGTGTGCTGGGACTTCCCTTCTCTGAGGGAGGGGGAGTCAGGCCCGGAGGGGGCGCGCAACGGAGGCTTCCCTGCTCCGTGTGTGTGTGGGTGTGTGTGTCGGCCCTGAGGGGTTGCATGCGTGGGCTTCCCTGCTCTGTGGGGGGGGGGTCCGGCAGAGGCACTCG